CCATCAAAGGTTATTAAACTGAATAATTTAAGGAAACTATTTTATCAATATCTTTTTTTAATTTAGTCTTTAATATAATTTATTTTATTGTTTTAATATTTATTTATCTGTATTTATTTATTTATTTTGTCATTACAAAGTCTCAAGCATAATGTAGTGTGTGGAAATTGAAAGATCAGGCGAATTAAAACTATTGGAAATAATATTTCAGATATCTACCCTAATGAATACAACTGAGCGATCGTTCAAAACAGCTGAACTTCCCAGCAATCAAACGCAAAAGTCGGTATTACTGAAACAACATGAAAAATGTTGTGAAGAAATTATGACGCTTTATGATACAACTGCAGCAAGAGGTAACGAAGTTATTCAAAGGTTACAGCAATCGGTGAGTGGATAGACTACCTGGCTTTTCCTGCTACCATGGAGATAATTTCTCCAATTTTTTCCCCAGTTTGTTTCTTTCTCTGTCACATTTCCCATAGATATTTCTACCCTATCACCATCTGCATTATACTATTGTATTAGCTTATTGTACACCACTTGTTCAATTACAGATTATTAAAAGCAGAAGAATATTCAATTGGATTTGTTTATGAAATGTGTCTATATATTTATATGTTCTATTCAAGATTCTTTAAAGGCTTCAGTCTTATTATGACTGTTGTTGGGTTTTTTTCCCAATTAGGAAAAACATAAAGGCTCTATTGAGGAGGTGGAGGACTCAATGAAAATTGTTGATGAACGGAAATACCAATGGTTGGCAAAATGGCACGAACATAAAGACAGATTGGAGGGAAGTTTACAGGACACTGTGATTAATAAAGAAAAGATAGAGGTATATGTCAAACAAAGTTGATGTAAAACATTTTTTTACTATATACAAGATATTTATTTTTCGAAGTCTTCACACTTCACATCTTGGAAGCCAAAAATTATGTACAAATTTTAAAAATAGGAGAGAGACATTCTTAATTTTAAAAAGAATTTAAAAAAATCACTTTAAATTATGTTCACAAAAATGTAAGTTGAAATTTCAATATATAAATAGCATACTCAGAATTGTGCACCACCTCCTTCAACTTCTACTTTCTTTATATTTAATCTTCTATTATTTAAGATATTTCAACCTTTTACAATATATTTCAGTTGCTACGTGATCTTGGTACAATTGAACGTGAGTTGAAGACAATTGAAAATGACTACGGAGACTCAATTCATTCAGTAACTCTAGTCGTTGAAAAGTGTGAAGATATCATGATAAACTTTGAGGTAAGTAACTTCCAAATGTCTGCATACATACATCACGGTTTTTCTTTCAGTTTCCTTTATCAAGTATATATTGTTTTCAAGTTTATGATAGACTTATGTGGCAGTATATATTTAGTATTCCACCAGATATACAGATAGTGCATACAATGGCTCGTTTTGAGGCAGCCAGGTATACTTCATACTATTTTCCTGGTCATTTCATTGGATCAAATTTCCATGGAACTAGTTTCTGCAATAAAAGGATACCTTTCACTTTCCAAGACATAACAATTGGAGAAGAAGAAATATACATATCACTGTTTATATTTCAGCCTCTGGAGAAAAGGTGCAAGACTTTCATTAGCTCTGCCCACACGTGTATGCAACAGAGGCCTTCTAGTGCTGCAGATTATGCAAAAGACATAGATGAAATAAGCTCATACTTAAGTACACTCCACAGACAATTGATTGAGAAGAAGAAGAAGCTAGAGATTGCTGTAGAAGTCTATGAAACTTATGAACTGGTAAGTCCTTACAGGAATGGAGCTGTATGTACAGTGTTGGATATATGATTTGGGGTGTGGGGGTGGGGGGGATGTGACCTCATAGTGGAAACAGGCTGTTTATAAGAGGGGTCTGGGTTCTGCCCCAGAAAATTCTTGTTTCTTTAAGGTCTGGAAATGTACTCCAAGCCTATTAATGATTTTAAATTACATCAAACCTCAAAGCTTTTTGTGTCTACTGCCTGTGGGGAGGGGGGTGTAGACACTTATCTAATTGTCTCACTTGTAAGTTGTCAAAGTCAATCCTGTTGGAGGAATGATGGGATGTTTCATAAGCTAAAGACATAAATGAACAGTCTTGCAAAATTAGCCTACGAAATATGATGCCATGAAGATAAAACCTCTCTTAGAAAGAACTAAAGTCAACAACTGGTATTTGTACAGGTATTCAAGTGAATTGCCAACACAAAAAGTGTGGATGGTTTATGAGTTAAAAATAGCCACATAAAGATTATCAAGCAGCAGACACGGTCCCACTGGCAGCCTATTTTGTGTATTAGTATAAAAAATGATGATGATGATAGTGGTGATTGCATAGACGGAATGGTTTGAGTATCAGAGGTTTGTTTGAGAGAAGCAAGTTTATGGCCCTGAAAATCAATGCTTCTTTGAATAACTTAAAGCCCCATTCCCGGCAAAATTTCATTGTAAGTTGTCAAAGTCAATCCTGTTGGAGGAATGATGGGATGTTTCATAAGCTAAAGACATAAATGAACAGTCTTGCAAAATTAGCCTACGAAATATGATGCCATGAAGATAAAACCTCTCTTAGAAAGAACTAAAGTCAACAACTGGTATTTGTACAGGTATTCAAGTGAATTGCCAACACAAAAAGTGTGGATGGTTTATGAGTTAAAAATAGCCACATAAAGACTATCAAGCAGCAGACACGGTCCCACTGGCAGCCTATTTTGTGTATTAGTATAAAAAATGATGATGATGATGATAGTGGTGATTGCATAGACGGAATGGTTTGAGTATCAGAGGTTTGTTTGAGAGAAGCAAGTTTATGGCCCTGAGAATCAATGCTTTTTTGAATAACTTAAGAATAACCCACTATAGATATTCTTACAGGGCACCTTGACTACTACTAGGTCAGAGAGCTTGCCCTAGAGTAAGGTATCTTATAATTTGTTTTGATTATGGGGTGGGATGGCATGCCTCCTATTCACCCCTAGATGCACCACTGATGTAGCATAGTGGTTAGGATTCTTACAGTCCCAGGTCTATGGGTTCAAATTCATGAGAACACCACCTAGTTTTTGTCACAAATTAAACAAAAATAAAAGACTTCATCTCATTTTATGCACAATGATTGACAAATACTGTTATTATTCTTGAGTTTTTATACTGTTTTATATCTATTAACATTTATGTTTTAAGGCTGTTGAATGGTACAATGAGGGCAACAAGTTGTTAGTGGAAGTTGCTGGTGACAGCCAAACTATCACAAAATCTGAAGAAGCTAATCAGCTACTAGATCAAGTGGCAGAATTCCTTCAAGATGGTACAAAAATTCAGGAAAGTAGGATTGAAAAGATCAACCAGCTTACTAAAGAACTCTATGGTATGTAACCAATAATGAGCATCTGCATTCCTTTAAATAACAAAGACATTCTTATGAGGGTTTTTTATTATGTTTACACATAGAAAAGTATTATGATGATATTACTGTGTATAGCATAGAATATTGAGAAATCAGAGTTAAATATGTCAAGTAAGGAGACCCCATTTACTGTAATATCTAACTCTCTAATTTAATTTTATTACTTAGAAAATGCCTATTAGCTTCATATATTAAAAACATGTAAGATATCTCTTTCTTTATTTGAAATATTTAGGAGGTAAACCACCACTATTTGTGAGTGAATTAACATTCCAGAATCAAGAAATGTTAAAAGCATTCAATGAAATTAATGATGAAGTTTTTGTGCTTGCTGAAAAACTGCAAGAAAGTGAATACAAGGACAAGCAGGAAAAAATGCAGAAATTTCTGATGGAAGTGCCAGATGAAAGCAGCAAACATGCTGTGGTACAACAGGAACCAGTTCCTGAAGAGAACCTAGCTCCATTTGAAACTCCTTCTGAATCCACTCAGAGTGTTCGTGAGAAGTTACCTGCTCCGCATGGAATACCAGTCATCGAAGAACAACTTCAGAGAAAGTTTATTGAGGATGATAAGAGTACCAAAGAGATTAAGTGGCCAGGAAAAATGGCTGATGACTTAGACGTTGGTATCACAGAGATAACAAAGACCGAAGTTGAGGTGAATAAAATTTGTAAAAAATAATAAAAAAGATGTATTGGAAACCTATTTTACACCCTTTATACTGCAGCTTGCGTGTTTCTGCTAACATTTAAAAAAATGATTCAAAACCTCAAATTTGCAGTTGTTTTAATAATATAAAGAAAAACCTATGTCTATAGTTTCAAAACGAATTCTAATAATATAGAGGATGCTATTTATAATAGTAATGAAATACTTTATTAGCTACCTTCTATTAAAATTATAAATAGCATCCTCTAATAATATAGAGGATGCTATTTATAATTTTAGTGGAAGTTAGGTATTAAAGTATTTTAATGAATGCCTAATATAGTGATAGACATAGGAACATTTCATGAATAACATGTTGTTTATGCATGAAAGTTTAACCAATGCTTCAAATGAGGAAACAAAAACTGCCCAAAAAAAAGTGACAGTTGGAAGTTAGTACGCTACTATATGAATGAATAGCATGAAGCAATGCAATAGTTGGTCGTGAAAGTGTAAATTACATTTTAAAAGTATATTATACTGTGTATTCAAGATTGTAATACTGTTAATACATGCATCAACGTTAGAATGTATATCGGAGACTCAAGAGTAGCATAGTCCAATGATGCATGCATGATGAACTATCTATTTGTTCCTGGTTTTATTTCATCAAGTATTCTTAGAACTGTATTTCAATAACCATTAAAATATTTCTAAAGTAATAATGAATTGATTTTGGAGGACGTAGTGCAATTTAATCTTGTTTTTTGATAAATGTACGGATGTGTTTCTAATGATACAATCTAATAGTACAGTAGCATATTCAAAGTGGGGGGGGGCTGCCCCGCCCCTCTTCCCCCCTAACAAATTTCTCAATTTTTTTTTTTAAATAGAGAAATAAAGATTTCGTCTGAGTCTGAGAGTGCAATTTCTGGCCATCTAGAGGTGCCATAATCACAAATTTTCTTACACATTCCCAACCATGATAGGGCTGAGGTCGTATAGATCCTCCATCTGTGAATGGACCTCCACCCCCCCCCCCTATTTTAAATTCCTAGATCCGCCAATTTATTATATATAAAGAAAACATTCTATATTATGAAATATAGCATTTTTCATTGCATTTACGCAAAATTGAAGTGATGTGATTGAAATGAAGTATTGATGAGATTGGCTTTTCCTGCATTAGTGGAAAAGCCATTGTTCTTATTTTTATTATTATTATTATCTTGAACTCGATGTTTATCTCCAGTTTGTTCCAGCAAGAGTGCGTGAAGAGCTCCTAGAACAAGCCACTGTTCAGCAACCTCTTGAATCAGTACAGTTTGAAACCTTGTTCCGTCCAATATCTATGCAAGATACTAGGCCTACATATGAAGAAACGATTGAAACTTCAACTAGTGCTGTGAAACCTGTTTTGCCATACTTCCCAAGGGTCATCAGAGATGTAGAAGCAACTGAAGGCATATCTACCGGTAGGTAACACTTTATTACTTCATATGATGTATTTATTAATTAATTGAATAAATGTTAATTGAATTGAATTGAATTGAATAGTTTATTTTGACTTGAAAATTGTTTTGGAGGACGTAGTGCAATTTAATCTTGTTTTTTGATAAATGTACGGATGTGTTTCTAATGATGCAATCTAATAGTACAGTAGCATATTCAAAAGGGGGCCCCTTCCCCCCTAACAAATTTCTGAATTTTTTTTTTTTTAATAGAGAAATAAAGATTTCGTCTGAGTCTGAGAGTGCAATTTCTGGCCATCTAGAGGTGCCATAATCACAAATTTTCTTACACATCCCCAACCATGATAGGGCTGAGGTCGTATAGATCCTCCATCTGTGAATGGACCCCCCCCCCCTATTTTAAATTCCTAGATCCGCCAATTTAATATATATAAAGAAAACATTCTATATTATGAAATATAGCATTTTTCATTGTATTTACGCAAAATTGAAGTGATGTGATTGAAATGAAGTATTGATGAGATTGGCTTTTCCTGCATTAGTGGAAAAGCCATTGTTCTTATTTTTATTATTATTATTATCTTGAACTCGATGTTTATCTCCAGTTTGTTCCAGCAAGAGTGCGTGAAGAGCTCCTAGAACAAGCCACTGTTCAGCAACCTCTTGAATCAGTACAGTTTGAAACCTTGTTCCGTCCAATATCTATGCAAGATACTAGGCCTACATATGAAGAAACGATTGAAACTTCAACTAGTGCTGTGAAACCTGTTTTGCCATACTTCCCAAGGGTCATCAGAGATGTAGAAGCAACTGAAGGCATATCTACCGGTAGGTAACACTTTATTACTTCATATGATGTATTTATTAATTAATTGAATAAATGTTAATTGAATTGAATTGAATTGAATAGTTTATTTTGACTTGAAAATTGCCCACCAAAAATGATGTTGATGAAAGAAATCTTGTTTGGCACAGTGAAACCTTATCGATTGTCAGCTTGCCTCTCACCACAACTTGTCACCATGCAGATTACCACACAGATGTATGCCACTATGGGCCTGTCCAGTTAAATAGTTATATTTACAATTAATGTTTATTTTCATGGATTAATGATTCAAGACATCAAAATATTTTCCATATACAGTAAAACAGGATAAAAAGGTAAAAAAGCTACAAAAAAAAAGTTTTTAATAATTTACTCAGTTAAGTTTGATTTAATGCTAATATAATGTTCTCTTTGATTTAGTATTTGAATGTATTGTGAAGGGAGAACCAGAGCCAGATGTAATTTGGTTGAAAGACGGCATCCAAATAGAAGATGGCCAAGGGGTAACAATGGAGTTTGGAGATGATGATAGTTGTACCCTGATCTTTCCATCATGCCAACAAAATCTAGCTGGCACCTACACATGTAAAGCATTCAATGACCATGGTGATGCTACATGCTCTGCTATTCTTACTGTAAAAGGTACTTTTATGTATTATCATCAGTATATTTACGATAGTATAATATTTTACTTTACTTTCAATCACGTAAATCTTATTAATACCTGATTCACGTGTAAAAAATCTAGCAAAATGTAACATAATACAAATTGTTACATTGATGCATTGATGTACAGTATAAAAAAATTTAAGATCTCAGTAAAATATATGGATCAGTGAGGTACCACCCTTAACATGTTAGAGTGCTTTTTAGCTTGCAAAAAGTGTACAGATGTTGAGTAAATAGTCGGCAGCTTTTTTTTCTTCTTGGGGGGGGGGGTGTAATTTATGAGAAAAATTTTCAGGCTAATTGTTGGCTTCTAAGTCTCTCAAAAAATGGGAGGGTGACAAGACAGGATGACTCCCCAAGTCATTTAAACTTACGTTATTTATACGGCAGTTCCCTTCCTTCTGTACCCCTCGTGCAAATATCTGGACCTGCCCCAGTACCTCATAGCCTCGTGACAGGCCACCGAAGACGGCTTTTTGCGAGTTTAGCAAAAGCCGATAAATCTAGGCCTAAATTTTGACATTTGAGGAATTGCCAATATTATTATTTCGGTTCATTGATATAATGGTATTAGATTTAAAAGTTATTAGAATTTATTAAAAGTTCACATTGAGATCCTGATATTGTTGCAATCATTAAGAGATGACAGTTCTTACAATGCTGCTGATATTGGTAATGGTGCTGGTGGTGTTGGTAATTGTGCTGGTGATGATTTTACAATGCTATTTTTAATTATGTATTTGCTATTAAAAATGATGTGCATCATGTTCTTGTTATACCTGTAATAGATGCGATGATTAAACCAGAGTTCATTGAAGCTCCAACAAAACAGGTTGTTGAGGAAGGCTCACAAGCAAGCATTACAGTTACAGTTGTAGGTGCACCAGTACCATCTGTTTTTTGGTAAGAATATTTTCCGCCTTTATGTGTTTGTGGCCATCCTCCGATAATGCCTCCTCCCCATTCTCATTGTCATCATCATTGTCATCATCATCGTCATCGCCAGCTTTGCTGCTTGTGCCATCACCACTACCACAGTCATTGCTGTCATCATCATCATCATCATCATAATCATCATCATAATCATCTTCGTCATCATTACCATCATCATCACCATCATCGATCCCTATCACCACAATCAACATCACCATCAACATCATCACCATCATCTATCATAACCATTGTTAATCAATTCAATAAAGTTAAGAGTGATTAAGGGACTGGTGAAAAGCTACTGACTTGTTTGAATTAGACTTTAAAAACTATCATTCTCCCATATCATAATCATTGTCATTCACATCATCATAATGTGACTTAGAGGTTGTTGCTCATAAATGTTGCTTCATTGTCCTGGAATGGGCAGATTTTTTGCTCCTTTGACTACCCTTGTACCTTTTCTAACAGCATTTAGAAGCCTTACTTTTTTATGAGAATTCAAGCAGTAGGGGTGATTGACGGTGCCCTGAGACGGAAAGGAAAAATCATATTATATTTATTATAATATCATAATCATCATGATTATTGATGACGGTGGTAATTACCTTGATCATATTCACATTCTAAATTGTTATCTATACAGTGATAGAGATGATAACCATGAAAAAAAAAATCAATATTTGCAGGCTTAAAGATGGTCATAACATTGATGAACTTCGTGAAGACCAATACAGCCATGTAATAGATGGAGATACTCACACATTGAACATCTCTGAAGTATCTGTTGAAGACCACAGCACTGTTACTTGTCAAGCTGTCAATAAAGCTGGTGTCTCAAAAGTAGACATACAGTTAGAGGTTAAAGGTAAATTTTATTTTTATTTTTAGCCTTTTAATTTATATTAATTTTTGAATTAATTAAACTGTACTGAAATGGAGTTGTATAGCTTGGTGGTTAAGATACTTGTTTTCCAATCCCAGAGTCATGTGTTCAATTTCTGTCACGGCAACATTTTTTTTTCCACGACCAAAACTTCAGTCCCAAAGCCTCATAATGAGACTATGTAGACATCTTGTTTATATGTTTGTCTTGTGGTGAAAGGTGTGCCACTTAGTAAAGTGATTAAGTTTGCTGGTGTACGGTAAGAATGGCCCTGGAAAAAATGGCCCAGGAAAAATTGACCCCGGTAAAATTGGCCCCGGTAAAATTGGCCCCGGTAAAAATGGCCCTGGTAAAAGTGGCCCCAAATGACAGGTAGGTAAAAATGGCCCCAAAAATAAAATTCTATATTAAAACTGATTTAAAAAAAAATCATTATATGCATTTTTTTAAACTGAAATAATTTAGTTTTTAAAGGGAATCTAACATCAAATAAATTGCCATTTACATTTTACTTTTTGCAGAAATTACATATTCAATGATAAAATATTCAAAGATAAAAAATAGCCATGAATAACACTTTTTTCCATTTAAATGTTAAAAAATAGCAACAACATTAATCAATAAATCAACATAAATCATGCATTTATTAATACTAAAATAATTTATTTGTGGCCAATTTCAAGGAAGCGGAATCACAATTTTCCAGAAATTCAATCCGGGTATTGGTAAGCCCCACAAACAATGAGTTTATATGAACATCAAATTATTATTTATTTTTTTTTAGAAAAAGAGAGTTCTACAATCGTAATTAAAGGGTTTGGATGGGGTTCGCAGTGTGTTTGGAGGATTGTGGTGTATTTGCAAGTATTTTTTCACAAAAAAAAATCAACATTTTAACCAAAAAATAGGTTGTTATAGATATTTAACTTTCTTATTGATATACCAAGTGAGTCAATCACAATCTAATTGTTTGGTTTTCTACAGTGTGTTTTAGGAGGTTTTTGGGATTTAGCAATACCATTTGATCCTACCATAATTACTTTACCCTCACAATTACACGCCATTTTAATTCTGAGCATAATTGCCATATTTACATAACTATGTATATAATATAGTATCTCAGTTTACATTATTTAGTATAGTTTTAGACACTTTTTACTTGGTGGGGAGTAGAAACCAAGTATGCAATTAAATAAGTTGCTTAAATAAATGTATTCCTTATAATTATTCAGTTTACTTTAAAAACAATGTTTGATTAACAAATACTTCTTTGAAGTAACTCTAAGCAGAACATTTGTTGAAGTAAAGTAAGCCTCCCTTTTCCCATACATGAACTTGTCATTCAAACACACAATTGATCCACATGCTTTAACTACTGTTTATTTACACTGTTTATAACATGTAAAGTTATTTCATTTGATACTTAACAAAAGTGAATTTTGTGGTTATCTATGAGTTGCATATTTTGGTAGTTGAAGTACTGTATGTATGTCATTCCTCTACTTTGTTAGTGGAATAACGTTTTTAAAACTTATTTCAACTATCAAAAAATGTTCAATGGCCGTTGTTTTCTGATAATCTTTCAGTACATTATTTGCATCTGTTGTGTAAATGTATTTGTTATTGATTCAAATCTTGCTTATTACAGTATTTAAATAATTAAAGATTTAAAAAAAAATATCATTTCTATTACTGAATTTTTCCATTGGGGCCATTTTTACCTACTTGTCATTTGGGGCCATTTTTACTGGGGCCATTTTTACCAGGGCCATTTTTTCCGGGGCCATTTTTCCTGGCCCATTTTTTTCCAGGGCTATTCTTACCTACATTCGCAAGCTATTGGCATATCCTTGGCCCGAAGGTGAGACTTTTTTAAACCTGGTTTCGCGAACTAATTTTTTTAAATATCCTCAGAGGAGGGGGGAAAAAATTAAAATAGAATTTTGTATCTTATTTAGCAAATTGTTTGAAAATAAAATGTTATTGTTGAATGTAAACAGTGTACTAATGGGATGGTTAAATGCTTTTAAATTATACATCTTATTTTTGGAGATTTCAAGGCAGCGACAGGCATAACAACAATAAAGAAAAACTTATTTTCTTCTGAAATTTTCATATTTTCATTGCGGCGGGTGCGCTAATTGGAAAAAATAAAATTTTATTTTTATTTGAAATTATCAATATTGGAGGGTGGTGGTTCCATGACACAAAGTATAAAAAAAGTCTTGTCTAAGCCGAAAAATTAAAGAATATAAATTAAAGAATAAAAAGCTGACTAATTCAGAAATCAATCTTCCAACATTTTTTTAGTACCTGCATAGCATTCAAAGTCATTATGGTTAACATATGATGCAATGTGTGTTTGCATGCTTGCCTACAAACATAATGTTGCTTGCTTTCATTTTTGCCATACAAAGCCTAACTTACAACTGTCAATGTCATCTGTACTTATGAAATTTTGTAAGAAATTGTTTATTTTTCAATTAGGTTGAGATTGGATTTTTTTTTTGCCACATGGGTTTAGGAGTAATTTATCACAGTAACTTCCATAACTACCATAACTAACATGCATATTTTTCCCCACAGAAATTTTAAGTGCTCCTGTTTTCATACAAGAACTAAAATCCGTTTCTGTGGATGAGTCGTCTAGCCACACATTTAAATGTTCTGTTACTGGTAAACCCATTCCAAGTGTTAAATGGTTTAAAGGTGATAATCTGATAAAAGACAGTAATAAATATACACTGGATTATACAGATGGTGTAGCCACGTTGACTGTACATGACGTAACAATGGCTGATTCAACTATGTTTACTGCTGAGGCAAGTAATTCTGAGGGTTTAGTTTCATCCAGAGCTCATCTTGGAGTTACAGGTATGCTGAAGTTATTCACTCTCATTATATATTTGCTAGAATAGAGCTCCACACTTGTTGTGAAAATAGAATTACAGTTTTGCCTTAAGGGTTGTGGGATTGAGGTTCTGACCTTTGGAAACAAATAATAAAGATAATATAGCACAGTTGATGCTTTATACCACTGAAGATATTATCTCTGACCTTTTGCATGTCTTCAATATTTAGTGTATAAATATGCAAAAAAGGGAAATACAGTACAAAACAATTCTACTAAAGCCTGTGCCGATTTGGAAAAGCTTTATATACATTGTTAACACCATCCACATTTGGATTTCTTCAGCTGTTTTTTTTTTCTTTTTTGCCAGTTTTTTTTTCTTTCAATGGTACTGTAACCAATGCTTAAGATGGAAACTTTAATGTTTTTAACTTCATTTAATTTTCTTGAGTTATTTTAAATATCAAACGTACAACACGTTGTGACATTACCTTGTCCCAAAACTTGAAATAACAGCAAAAAAACATTGTGGAGGATAAAAGCTGACAAAATTGCTTGTTTTTTAACAACAATTCAACTGGACACATTTCCTTCATTCCATACAAAGATTTATTCACAGTTTAACATACAATTCTTGGGATTTGACATGGAATGAATTTTATTGTCTAAGCATTAAAATGACTGAATATTATTTTGGAATAATTCTGAACAAGAAATTAGGGGGCTCGTTTATACAGTGACAATAAAAACACTTTCGGATCCCAACTAAACTATTGGTTGCACACCAAAATATACAGAATTTGTTTTACAAACCAAATAAATAAACAAATTCTTCTTACAACTACATTTAAATTAATTTTGTTTAGTATTGGAAGAGCCTATATTTTTAAAAAAATAGTATTGTTATATAATATTGATTAACTTAAATATCAAGCTTTACAAATTTAATTTAAATAAATCCACTTTTCTTGTAGAAATATTCAGTGCACCAGTTTTTGTGACCAAACTTAAGAATGCTGTAGTAGAGGAATCTTCAAGTCATAGATTTGAATGTTTTGCCATTGGTAAACCAACACCAACTGTTAAATGGTTTAAAGACACGAAACAAATAGAGGAGAGTAATAACTATAAGATGGTTGTTATCAAAGGGGTTGCTAGCCTGATTATTAATGAAGCAAGCATTGAGGATTCGACCACCTTTACCGCTGAAGCCAGCAATACACTAGGCAATGTCACAACATCTGGCAGGCTAAACGTTAAAGGTAAGCATATATTCAATGGCTCTTAAATAGTGGGAGTACAACAAAGTATTTTGTTCATGAGAAGTCTTTCTTACATACGAGTTCCAAAAAAAAAAAAAAAAAGGAATCACCTAAGTTACATTAACGATAAAAACAACTGAAACAAATTTTAGTAGCTTTTGTGTAATTGTTAAACATAATTGATGAATGTGGTTGTTTTTTTATTCTAGAAATATTGCGGGCACCAGTATTTTTTGAGAAACCTAAAGATGCAGTAGTAGATGAATCCACCAGCCACCGGTTTGAATGCTTTGTGACGGGCAAGCCAACCCCCACATTAAGGTGGTACAAGAAAAGTGAGTTGCTGAGGGAAAGTCATAGATACAAGATGGAATATAAAGATGATATTGCTAGTCTCACAATCGTTGATGTGACAATGGATGACTGTAATACATTCACTGCAGAAGCAAGTAACTCACAAGGTATTGTGAAAACATCAGCTGTGCTAGAGGTCAAAGGTAAGTTAAGTTTTCAGTTTTGACCAATTGGATAGCATAAAATTTTGCTTTGCTGAAGCATTTACTATTAGAAAAACATTATTGCTGTATAATTTTTATGCACTAACATGCACTACAGTGTTTTGCATAAATGAATGTGTAATTAAATACCATCAGGCCCCTTGCATAAAGATACTGCAATTCTCCAATTTTAGAATGGTGTTAAAAAGTAGTACATGCATGCTCAACCAGATGAAGAGATAGTAAGATACTGTCATGTTGCTGCAGATTTCTTGCTCCACGAGACAGTCACTGTAACTGGTGCAATACTATTCTTCTGAAAGTGTAGGCAGAATGAGCCTGTATTAATGTGCATTTTGGCTACAGTGAAATCTATATCAGTTAAAGAAAATTAAAAGGTTTACAACATTAAATTCCAAATAAAGCAAAGGTTTTAAAGAATGATGCTATAGATTGATTGATCAATTAATTATAGGATCACTTTTGGAACACTGGCTCAATATGCTATTAGGGTTTTGCATCTTTATACAAGAAAATGTTAAAAGCTTGCATTGTGTAGATGAGTCTATCTTAAATAATCTTCAATCATTTAGTGAAATATAAATCTACTTTTCTTGTAGAAATGTTCAGTGCACCAGTTTTTGTGACCAAACTTAAGAACGCTGAAGTAGAGGAATCTTCAAGTCATAGATTTGAATGTTCTGTCATTGGTAAACCAACACCAACTGTTAAGTGGTTTAAAGACTCAAAACAAATAGAGGAGAGTAAAAACTATAAGATGGTTGTTATCAAAGGGGTTGCTAGCCTAATTATTAATGAAGCAAGCATTGAGGATTCAGTCACCTTTACTGCTGAAGCTAGCAATACACAAGGCAGTGTCACAACATCTGGCAGCCTGCAAGTTAGAGGTATTTATATTCAATAGTTCTTTTAAAATTTTGAATGCAACAAAGCAAATAATTCATGAGAAAACATTGATAAATATGAATACAAAACTTATAAGCATGTTTGAATATATTTTAAATTGAACTTCAAAGTTAAATCAATGATAAAAACAAATAAAACAAATTATTATAGCTTTTGTGTATATGTTCAACAACGATGAATGTGTTTGCAATTTGTTTAAATTTTTTATTCTAGAAATATTGCGGGCACCAGTATTTTTTGAGAAACCTAAAGATGCAGTAGTAGATGAATCCACCAGCCACCGGTTTGAATGCTTTGTGACGGGCAAGCCAACCCCCACATTAAGGTGGTACAAGAAAAGTGAGTTGCTGAGGGAAAGTAATAAATACAAGATGGAATATAAAGATGATATTGCTAGTCTCACAATAGTTGATGTGACAATGGATGACTGTACTACATTCTCTGCAGAAGCAAGTAACTCACAAGGTATTGTGAAAACATCAGCTGTGCTAGAGGTCAAAGGTAAGTTTTCAATTTCATTTTGAGTAACTTCTTGGTAAAACTTTACAGACCTGTGTGAGGTATGTTTAATATTCTGAGATGTAACATAGATATTATCTAGTACATGATAACGATGACGATGACGACACATATTATGGAGACCTATGCGCTTAATGAAAAAAGATGGATCAAGAAAGTAATACTTAATCTAATCCTAAAGACATGCTAATCCTACTCCTTAAACTAAGTATGGTTGGCTGTTGACTGAGAAACTCATCCACCCCTTTTTTCAGCTTTTTTTTTTATTGCTGGGTGACCATCCACCCTGCCACCCACCCAAAGACCGCTAAGGATGTAGATGGGGTTGCCAGTTAGTCGCCGACGGCTCGATTGGATGCATTTTAACGCCATACCAAAGACATCTTAACTAAAACTAATCTTAACTACCTAAACTAGATTATACTGGATTTGAAACTATCCCCGCCAGACACCATCCCGGTATTTCCAAGCAAAGGTTTGGCGGATAAATGTGAAACAGAGGGTTAGAAATTAAATATTTTTTAATATGAATTTATTGACAGATGGCACCAACATTCAAAACAAACAGTGTAATCAAATACCACAAACCTCTTTGCTTAAAAATAATTTTGTAATTTTCCATGTTAAAATTGTGTAAAAGTATAGGACTATCGTATTTATGTAAGTTAGGTTAGCTGAAGACATACATGTCAAAAAAAATTTTCAGTGCTTGGCACACACAGTACGATTTGATTTATTGTATTTGATGAAGAGATAGTGAAACATATGTAGGAGCATTAGGCACTGTAGTTGCGAATAGGCCTGTCAATATTGAGGTTGGAGGCAGAAACCTTTGTCTGATGAGCATGTCATAAAATCCATGGAGTTAGATATTTTGTACTTGAATGATCCTTACAGAACCACATCTACTATCATATATCTCACAACAAGAATATTGACCATCAGACTCTAAGCTATGGGGAACCAGAGTAAAATGTTAGTTCACTTACCTTAAAAAATAATTATAGTATCTTACTGTATACAAAACGATATTAAAATTTGGTGTGTAATTTTTTTCCAGTTTTGATCCAAAAGAAGTCAAATGATTTCAGAAGTTACTACTTACAATTTCTATTTTCAATGGATCTAATGAGTTTATTAAATAATATTGAAAGTAATCAGTCTATACTTTTGCAATTAGCACAAGATATTCAAGACTACACTCACCCCAAATATTAAAAATATGTTTAATTGATTTAATTGTAAATTGTTGATATACCAGTATATCTAAGACATGAATTAGAATCTTTTTTTTTTTTAATTAATACAAAGTATTAATTTTTCATGATATATTTCTTTCCAGCAATTTTAAGTGCACCAGTATTTATAGAAAAACTAAGAGATGTTGAAGTTAATGTATCGTCAACCCAAAGATTAGAATGTCTTGTCACTGGTAAACCAACTCCCACAGTCAAGTGGATGAAAGGTGACCACCTGTTGGAAGATAGTTCTAAATATAAACAGGATTATAGTGATGGTGTAGCCAGTCTGATAATCAATGATGTGTCAATCACAGATACAGCAATCTTTACTGCTGAAGCCAGCAATTTCAAAGGCACCGTTATCTCCTCTTCTCATGTGAAAGTTACAGGTTTGTTTTTGTAATTTCAAGATTAATATATTATTCAACACTTTTTATTGATTTAATCCTAATCGAACATTAGCATATAATTATTGTCTTCATTGTTGTTTGTGTCGTTGCTGTCTTCCTCATCGTCCTTAACATCATACTTCTCATCATCATCATTGCCATCATCATCATCATCATCATCATCATCTTCATCATCATTATTGTTAGCTTCATCACCATCATTATAATCTTTTCCTTTATCATCTTAATTTTCATGTTCACCTTATAACCACTTCATTAATTATTCATTAATGTCAGTCTTAGTTCAATTATCATCAAGCTATAAGCTTTAATACGTTATTTTATAAGTTGATGATTTTTGATTGATTTCCCACAAAACAGAACCAAAGAAGCATGTGCCAGCTCCTCGTTTTAGCCTTCCGTTAAGCAATGTTGACGTAGATGAGGGCGTGCCATGCAAGTTATCCTGTTTTGTCATTACTGAGAGCAAACCAACAATCAACTGGTTTAAAGATCACAAGCCTATTGATGATAGTGGCGACTTTGAGCTTACATATGAACAGGGAATGTGCTGCCTCTTCATTCGAGAAACATTTACAGAAGATACTGGGCATTACAGCTGCAAAGTAACAAACGAGGGTGGAGAAGCTAAGACCTCTGCTTATCTCACTGTTGAAGGTAACGTTTAAATGTTTAAGTAGTATTATGGTTATCAGTATTTTTATTGTCATCTCATAATTACTTGCAACATTGATTACTTAATAAATTGTAACTATTCAGTGTGTGATTCCATCGTTATTTTTTTTTTAAATCTTGTATCAAAAGCAAAATGAGAAACAAGTTTATTAAGTTACTAGATCACATGATGTGCAACAACTTGATTTTAAACTTACTAATAATAAGTAACTGTGTTACAGGATGGAATTGGTATAAGGTTTAGGAAGACATTTGCTTTATTCAGGATTGTACCCAGAACCCTTAGATGAAAAGGCAAACAGCTTAACTAGCTCCATTCCTTCATCAGAATTAAAACCTATTGAGATGTTCATTTCAGATTTATACTTTTATTTTGTAATTCATTTTTGTAGCTCTACCAGAAGATGATTCAAGTGCACCTCATTTTGTGACTAAGCTAAGTGATGTCAAAATGTCATCAGGAGAGAGGTTGGAGTTAACTTGCAGAGTTTTTGGCAATCCTGAACCAATGGTCACATGGTTTCATAATGGAAATCAAGTGGAGGAGTCAGAAAATATTAAGGTACAAAAAGTGGATTTGTGGATTAAATTTTTAAAAATTGACTATATTAAACTATTAATATATTTATTGTTATTAACAATAGTGCCATGCTTAATGTGTTTTTCATTTCACTTTTTTTCATGCACTTTTAAGTGAATTTAAGTACGTTATCATAAGCAATTCAGTCTTGTCTTTGTTAATTGTGATTCAAATAAATTTATATTTTATATTAAATTCATGTGATTTTAATCAGCAGTTTACAGGGGCAAGTTCATAGGCCCTTCTAAATATTCAAATTTAAGTCTGAAAATGCCATTTCCAGCTGTCTAGAGGTGTCTACCCATAACATTTTGGGCTTCAGTCCAAACCATAGTGGGGCTGATGCTCTGTACCTTTCATCTGTAATAAAATTCCTTCAGTGGTCCCTCTATTTTGAATTCCAGGTTCATAAGAATACCACTTTGAAAGCAATTAATCAACTATGAGTATTAAATGTCTTATCAAACTGTTTAAAAATTGTATCATATTGTCCTTCTCTTAATACTAATTAAACTTTATCCTTAGTTTTTTTTCAAATGAGCTTAATTCTTTTATCTGTTAGATAATTGAGGATGAGGAGAAGCATATGCTGGTGATAAGGGAGGTATCACCTGACCACAGTGGCACATATGTAGCTCGTGCCAGTAACCATGTAGGAGAAGATACAACTGTGTCAAATATCATTGTTGAACAGCTTCACACAAGGTATGTTCCATAACTTGGTTTATTTATTAAAGAATTATTTAAGTGAATAGGATGATTTTTGACTGCCCAAAGTTTCAATATGTTCTGATAAATTTTAATCAAAGAGTTAAGATTTGCCTTGTGCTCAAAAATGACCATTTTTCACCTACCTTCAATACATAAAAAATCTTTATTATTCTAAAAAAGCTCATCAAATACACAATAAAAATACTGGTTACGGTCAGCCTGTCAAAATTTAGTTAAATTGTAATATAAAGTGTACAAGAAAATTGGTATGTATGAAATATATGATTTGTAAATTGATCTGTTGATCTGTGTCTTAAATCGGGCAGTGATTAAAGAAACTAAGGCTATGTTCACACATGCGGCGTAAGACTGGCGTGGCTTACGCCAGGCGTAAGCTAATCCACGGATTAAAATTCCAAAGCGTTCACACAAACGGCGTTCGTTAAACTAGTAGTAATATAGGCATATGGGGGAATAGTTTTCAGTTTTAAATAATGTACGGGTTTTTAACTGTAGTAAAACTAACAGTGTATCATGAAAACTTTTAAATCTGTGAATTGTTTGAAGTGAACTTATATGATTATTGTATTTTAAATGAACAATTTTACTTCTGATTTTTCAGCTAGCATTGAACAGTTGTTGGTGTTGCAGGTTTTAATATACAGTCTAAATAGGATATAATATCTTACAAAACACAATCAACAAATCATATACATTATAACTAAGTAAAATGCAATAGAAAAAGAACCCCTTTACTATTTCATTCATAGAGAGCAGAGGAAAGAGAACAAAGTAGCTAATATATTGCAATCGTGATTGGTCAATCTCTTAAAATGAGGTCAAATCATTCAAGCATCACTGGCGTTAGCTCAGTGGTGTTAGCTAATCTGGGGTCTGCAGGTAGCGTTAATAACGCCAAGGACGTGGCGTAGTGAGTGACCTTAACCACGCCACTGCCTAGTTTACACACAAAGGCGTACGCTACACCAGGCTTAAGCCAGCCTTACGCCGTGTGTGTGTGAACATAGCCTAAAACCACATGCACATGCCTAGGTGGACAGCACTAGTCCTTGATTCAAGTCTATTAAACATTTGACGACAAGACAGAATCAAGAGATACTTTCTATATATGTAAACAGTTGTCTCATCTGAAAGTGATATTTTCACTATGATATAAATCCTTCCATTGTTTACATACATAGTGGGACTGCAATGGTGATTGTCTACAATTGGCCATAATTTCATCAACCTTGGTATACACTGATTGTCTAATACACAAGATACAGTGTACTGAACAAATTTCAAAACCAAACATGAACTAATAAAGATATTACAGCTATATTGTTATAATAGTTGCTAACGTTATTGAATTTAATTTCAACAGTACAAGTGGCATTGTCATAGAACCTCGTCCCAAACCAGCTGCTCCCACTGTCCTGGAACAACCACCAAAAAGTGTGCAGGTTGTTGAAGGGGAAAGTATCACTATCAATGTCCACATCACGGGCTTCCCAACACCTAAGGTAGGTAGTACATTTGCAGTAAACACTTTGGATTGTAAAAGGCTGTAATTATACTGGAGATTAAGTTTTGTTGAGATTTAAAATATTTGATTTGAAAAAGCTTCTATATCATACTTTGCACATCCCTATTTTGCAAATACAGTTGGTTTACAAAAAGTACAATGATTCAAATACAGAACTACCATATAATGCAGACTTCTCAAGTTAGAATGCATTTTAGTAACTATTTCCGTAGTAAGTAAATAATTTCCGTAGTACCAGAAAATTTTCTTTGAGCGCAAGATATGGGTTGCTAAAAAAATTGCAGGTACAGTATAAAAGCAGCTGTGGAATTTTATACAAACTGGACAGGATGAAGATTTATGGCTCACTTTTCTTGGGTTTTACAATAATTTATCAGTACCTGCAAGTCTGAGTGGTCTAAGGTCCTTAGGGACAATGTAACTAAAGATCCTGATGAAAAAAAATCATTGTTCTGGACATTACACAATCAAATCAATCTTTGTAGTCCAAAATAACAATGTGTAGACCTTTATAATTCTGGGTTTAGACTAATGGTAATTTCTGTAGTGTATTTGCCTTATTTCTGTAAATACCTCCATTTACACAAAATTTCTGTAGCAACTATGGACATATCGTAAAACATAAGAACTCTGGTAATGCATTATATTTTAACAGGTTTTCTGGTACAAAGATGAAGTTATAGTTGAAGAAACAGAAGAGATAAGAATAGTAGAGGATAAGCACAGGTGCAGCCTTGTATTCAGTCCAGCTCGACACTACCATTCTGGGTTGTATTTATACAAAGCAGCCAATACCCATGGTGCACTTACTGGTACTTGTAGGATTCACATTGAAGATCATACAACAAGTAAGTAAAATCAATGTAGGCAATTAAAAAAGCACCGGGCTAGTTATCTGGAGGTCGTCATTTCGATTCCCACCTGAATCTCTCTCTCTCTCTCTCGAGATTTTTACCCCATATTTGGGAATGTACTGAGCATTCAGTACGCTAACTCATCAGGTAGGACAAAACATCATTCCTGTTGAATCTCCTGATGAAAACATTATTTACAGTAGAATAGCATAGCAGTACCAAGATCAGATTCAACACTAACCACTAAGCGCAAACTTGGTGGTTTAGTTGTTAAGACTGGCTATTTATTTGGGTGTCATAGGTTCCTTCACACCCGCATCACTTGCAAGATTTTTTTTTCGCAAGTATTTGGGAACGTACCGAGCATTCAGTACGAAAACACGTCAGGAAGGGCAAAAATCAATCGTAATAAAGACGAAGTTATAATTTTAATCATAGAAGTGTTGGAAAATATAGCGTGGTAATTTTCAGCATTCTTGTACGTAACTGTCAAAGTCTTTTAAACAAATTCTAGAATGTTTAGATCATTTACAATTATATTGTATACTGTACTATAAAACTCTGTGATCGATGCTGACTACTTGGATAAGCGTGGCTTCTTCTGGAGTGATCAACTCAGACCTCAAGACTCTTTAATACACTCCAATATCCCATTAGGGTTACTTTTTATATACCAATATGTCATACACAATGAAGGCCTGCAAATGACAATCAAATAATTTTGCATGTAAAAATGAAAATACCTACTATATGAGATGTCCTTATTTTACTTGCCCTATTATTTTTGTGTGTATATCAACACAGGTAACATGTATGGGCAGGTATAAAGAACAGAATGAGTAGAGAGAGAGAGAATATTACCCATATTGAGTACATTTTTCTATACATACAAATTCTGTTCCTATAATTTAACTTTTTTTTTTTTTTTTTTTTTTGTATTATTGGGAATTCTGTAACAAGATGTTGATGAGTGATTGACACTGATAGTTTTTGAAATGATGTTTTCTCTTTCCTCTACTTAGCCTCAGTGACATACCCTAAAGGTCCGACATTTATCCAGCCATTAATGGAGTCAGTTTCACCCGTTGCGGGTGACACAATCAGAATCCAGTGTAGGATAAAATCATTAACTCAACCACAGGTATGTTGGTCTCAAACTCGACATAAAAAAGGTGTGGAGCTTTGATATTGCGGTTGCGTTGCACAGCATTCTATCAATGGATCCTAGTAAATCAATGTAAATTTTAGAATTAATAACCTAAACCAATGTTTATGCTTGATGACATTCCAGAAAAAAAAATATCAAATAATTTCATAGCCACCTTAAAAGGGATTCCTCTCTTTCCATCATCTTCTGTCTCATGGAAAGGATTATCAAATACATTGTAATTACTCTCAACTTTCGCAGTGTAATTCCTACATACCTACAAAATGTTCCTTTTTTTCCTCAACTTAATCGAAACTTTGAGATATTCTCAACTAACAGCAATAGTTCTTTTCAGAACTATCTACGTGGTGTACCTTAAGCATTAATATATATCATTTTATTTTTCTGTGCTGTGACATTTTAATATGTTTGAAGAATATTTTCAGAAATGTATGTGTATGTTAAATGTTACTGCCTTTTATACAGATTTTGCTGTCCAGCATTCCAGGGTCTATGAAAATATTGTTATATTATAAAGAAGTTAAAAATCTACTTAGCATCAGCATTTTTTAATGTAAAGTTGTTATATTAAAAAAATTGCATCCATTTTGATTTTGAACAATGCTATTTTCAGATTCGTTGGACAAAAAATTCTCGTACCATTACTGAAACCTCTCGTGTGCGTGTGACACAAGAAGAAGATATGTACTGCCTGATAATCATTCATGTAAAACCTACTGATGCTGGAATCTACAAGATTGCAGCGACCACTCCGCTGGGACAAATAGAATCATCAACCGTCATAGATGTCAAAGGTCAGATATAGGTTCATTAATCTTTTCATTTATTTATTGACATGATATAGTTTTTTATATTTAATTTCTATATTTTCATTGTTTTAATTTAATTATGAACTTTATAGTTTTTTTTTTATTTCATAATGTTTTTTGGCTTCAATAATTTTCATTTCCTCAGAACCTCAAATTGTAGCACCCATGTTCAGTATTCTTTTGCGTGATCTACATGTGACTGAAGGTGATGAGGTCAGATTTGATTGCCAGGTTGAGGGTCAACCAATCCCAGATGTTACCTGGTACAAGAGAGATGAGATAATAGAAGATGACTCAGATTTCAAGGTAGCATCAATTTCCCCAAAAAAATCAATGTACACCTATTTAAAAAAAAAAGAGAATAATTGGAGTATAGTAGATAATGCTCCTGGGCTTCTTTTTTCCAATCATTGCCTAAAATAACTTGACAATTATTGCTGATGTTGGTTGCTCTAGTGATATTGTCAGTATATCTTCAATACTGCATGTGCATTAGCTGAACTATGTCAATGCTATACTGTACTGCTACTAATATTTTAGTACAGTAGAAAGAATAAATTGATTATGTTTAATAAATTTGAATTTGTTATTAAATAATGCCCTGTTAGTGGAAAAAAATATGCAGTCAATATAAAACAAATATTGACTGCTCTAGATTCGGGGAACGGTGAAATCTATAGCCCCTCGGTGATGTGGAGACTGTAGCCTATCTTCCTTAGCGTCGAAGGGCTCGGGAAGATGGGCGCACCTCGGGAGGATAGGCTACGGTCTCCACATCACCTCGGGGCAATAGATTTCACCATTCCCCTCAGTATAATATTTACTTGGATTTTAATCAGCTCATAGTTCCAAATAAAGCCATTGGTGATTTGAAGGCTGTACTATGTCCCTTGATTTCATCTCAGGACATATTACGGCCTCCTGATCACCTTGGGGTATAATTTAAACCCTGCCTCTCAACTCAGTAATTATTTGTATACTATACTATAGAAAAGTAAGTTCCATTTCAGATGAAGGAAAGTAACGTAAATGGATGATGTTTCGATTGACTTATACAAATCATTGTGACTTTGATAGAGGTTGAGTTGACTCCTGATCCTCAGAAAATTTATACTCATAGATTATTTTTAATTTAGTCATAACATTAATGTTGTTATGTGAATTACACTTCTTTACTGGATTTTTTTTGTTCGCTATAATTGAACTTTTTTTTTTTACAGATAATTGTTAATGAGGACCGTCATAGTTTGTTAATTAAGGAAGTATTTTCTGATGATAGTGGATTGTATAAAGTGGTAGCCAGTAACACTGCTGGTCAAGCTACTTCACAAGCAGAGCTCATTGTGGAATGTAAGCAACAAACTTTTTTATCTTAATAATTTTTCTTCAAAATATTTCATTTAGCTTTGTTATTGTATAAAAAATTCTCTTTTTTTTTTTTTTTTTGGAAAATCTAATAAGAAACAGAGTACTTATACTCAGGACGTTTCAATGTCTAACAGAGCTCTTTATCAACTTACTGCTAGGTGTAATTGCACCAAGCCTTTTAGGTTGGGGAATAAATGAATTTTTGATAAAATGAAGTAATCATAAACCTTCTGAAATTGTTTATTTATGTATATATTAATAAAACTGTATAAAATAGAATGTGCCTGCTGGCCTTAATTAGAATACTAGACACATTTAACATATTTTTAAGACCAGATTTGATAGGAGTAGGAGTATTTCGATGTGATTCACACCAAGTATAAACTCCTAAATCTGAAGACTTCTTCAGTGGGATGCCTTTGTGGTGAACTGGGCAGCACACCGGGTGACAAATCTCCTACCTTTCTGAAAAGTGTACATTCTTTATCACACAGAACCAATAGCTTAATGTTTCACCCAAAAGATGGTGCACTATCGGAACTTGTATTTCAGCCGTCGAAACACAGGGAAAGCTGTGATTAGAACCGAAATGATCTCCATGGTTCAGTGTGATGAAAGTTGTCTTTCCAGCAAAGCTGATTATTGTTTAACATTTCTGTAACTTCTGTTTGTTGAGGTTTGAAAAAGTGGTGCTTTAATGTTATGATATATCACCATCATCTAACAGAGATTATTCTAGAAAAGGTAGAAGCATCTGCACACTATGTTATTACTGTTATGATGATATCAAAATCAAAATTGATATTAAACTGAAGTAATTAAAATTTATATCATGTTGAATTAGTTACACATTGTAAATAATTTTCAGTTTCATTTGAGAAAAATAGATGTTGGCCACCAAAACTGCCAAGAGAGGAGGAGTAATAACAGTAACTTTGAATATAATTATATAATATTAATCAACAAGAATCAAATTTATTGTGTATTTTTCTCAACTTTGAGTTACTGACAGTCACAGTTGCTAAAATATTTGATTGAGATTTAATCTATTACTCTTCAGGTGCTCCACATGTGATGAGAAACCTGGTGGATGTAGAAGTGAGAGAGGGAGAATCTACTCAGTTTGAATGCATCATCAGTGGTAACCCCTCACCTAGTATCACCTGGTTGCTCAATGAGAACCCTGTGTTGCATGACTTCATTGCAGAATCTGATGGTGAAAGGCATCGACTTGTCATACCAGAGGTATTCAGTGATGATGATGGTCTGTATACCTGTATAGCAGAGAATTACTTAGGACAGGCCAGTACACAAGCTTATCTGAAGGTCAAAGGTAAATATATCTATTAATTAATTTTGAATGGCTCAAACCACCTTGGCCCATTTATAATACACAAATTTCATTTTATTTAATCAGCAAAGGTAGAAATTAGTAATATATTGGAATTGAATACTATAGTTTAAGGATTCAAGAAAACCAGATAAAACTTTTCCAGTTATATTATTTTATAAACAGTGGTTTCTAGAGTACTGACAGCATTGATATATAAAATAAATGTATTAAAAACAAATTCCATGCAACTTTAGGATTAGGAAAAAATATTTTTAAAATGTCATTTTTATGTTCATTTTTAGATGACACTTAAAATGAACAGATATTGCAAATATTTTCTCTAAGAATTTCACCAAGTATATAATCGTGACATTCCAAAATACAAAAATATTCCAAGATTGATAAAAAGTAAATTTATATGTTACCTCATATGTAAGCCAATCATACTTCTTATCAACTGCTACAATTTACCGTTACATTTTCATGAATGTTAGTGGGAAAAAACCTAAATTTTTATAATTACTTTTTTCTAAGATTGGAATGTTTTGACAATTTAGGATTTTAAGTAAAACAAAATTGCAAACAAAAGTTTGCTTTTTTAAATTAACACATGATGAGGAGATAAAAATCTCAGATATTACACCTCCATCATATACCCCATTAATATGCAAATTCTCATTTGAAAAAAATGATATAATTCTTTTAGGCATTTACAGTTGAATTTTAGAGAAGCTACAAAGTATAAATCTTTTGAAGATGGGTGTGTTGATGTTTATAGAACACAAAATAGGCTTAGCTTCTTTTGGTTAAATCATATAACTTTTTGCACAAATTTTAGCATAGATAAGACACACAAGTAAATATTTTGCAATGCAGATGACATGTTCACAGGTCTTACACCTGCTTGCTGCATTTTCTCATATGTATTGCAGTCTAGAATGTTCTAATGATCTTTCAAATTTCAGTCATGTTTGTATGCTAACATAGGTGGTTCATTGAAAATGTCAGTGCTAATATCCATGACAGTTTTTTTAACTAGTTAGTAGTGCATATTTTATATTGCTGGGCATTTATAAAGCTTATGTAGTTATATAACTGTTTTCTGGTACTTAAATCTTTCTGTTTTTTTTCTTCATTTTTTGATATTTTTGTGGAGAGGGTCCATGAGAGTTTTCTTTTAAGCAGGTATTGGTGCTTTATAATTTTCAATATTATTAATATTATAATAATACAGAATTAAAAAAAAAAATAAACTGAGTGCTAAAGAGCTTGGATAAAAAAGGGTCATGGAAGTTTATTACATTTGGAGTATTTAGGAAAAAATCTAATTTTCTAGTTTTACAGAGCTTTAAATGAATGAGACATTATTCGTTTTTGGGAACCAATAGTTAAGTCTTTCATATTTGCAGAGTTTTTGGATAAATTATATTTGATGCTGAGAGAGTGAATCTATTGCAAGCTTCTCAAGTGTACTTTTGTACTGTATATGCAAAAGTATAATTTAAATTTCATTGTAGACTGGAAAAATACTTACTATCAATATTGTGATGTCGTTATACCACTTTACACTGAAGTCTCAAAGTGGTTGCGGCATGGATCCGCTGGTACAGGTATAAAGTAATTTCCAGATAATTTTCTTACAAAGATGACAAATTAAAATTTAATAAAATGTATGTAGCAGTTTGCGAGTTGGGCAGACACGCTTGATTTGATGGTCGGTTGACTATCAGCTGTCAAATCCATCTCTACTCTGTGTGAGCTTGTGATGATGCTATGTCGTCTGCTGCATGTTAGTGCAGTCTCAGTGAATCGCTGTTGAAGACAATCCCTCTCTATGAAATTGCATCAACTATTGGCTCTATATAATATAACATATAACAGACAATCAAAAATTGAGTCATGTAGACTTGTAACTTCCCAATCAGCGACTGTGGATTAAATTGTGATTCGTTGCAATTTTATGCCATATGTGTTCTCCCTCAAAAGAAATAAGTCACACCAAATAATATCTAAGTGTAGTCTGAGAATAATATTACACTCCAAAATTCAAAATAAATGCTACAAAACTACCAAATAGAACAGTAGCAATATTTTCTCCCATCCTTTTACATTGTTTTGCCTTGTCATGTATTACTTTGTTTTTTCGACAGCCCTTCAAAAGCTTTCCTTTTTTTAAAATCTTACCTTTTTAAAAAGATAGTAAGTTGTATTATCTGAGAAAAAGAAGAAAAATAAATCTTTTGTTGATATTAGTAGACTCTATAATATGATTCTCATGAGAGCAGCTTAGTTCAGTCGGCTAAACTGGTGATAGCCACTTTGTGTATGAGTGTGCTGAACCGGGGAGGAGGTTAGTTCCCCCCCCCCCCGGTTCAATTCCCGTCACTGTTCTCCTTGTGATTCAGTTGGAGGGCTGAAATACAAGTTACAATAGCGTTACCGTCTTTCGGATGTGATGTTAAAGCCTTTGGTCCTGTGTGCAATATGGTCCTTGTGCACGTTAAAGAATGCAATACACTCTTTGAAAAAGAGTAGGAGATCGTGTACTGCCCAATACACCACCAGAAGGACCCCACTTGATGATGTTATTAATAATTTAATGACACTGCTATGTGTATGAAATCCATAGCTATGGAAATTGTTAGCAGTCTTTGAATTCTGGAGTTCCTGAATGCTGCTCATTCATACCATCATCAGATCTCGTCATTTAAATTTTTGTTAAAAGATTTAATGGTCAGACGTAAGCAAATAATGAGGCCATGCTCTCCTGATGTAGATGATATTTTCATTGAAAGCGAATGCTCTAGTGAACGGTACCAGTCCTAAAAATTTGCTAGGCATAACCTTTCTTAAAATATAAGTAATAGGTGGGCATTGATGTGAGATATGATTAACTGGGTGTGTGATATCTCCTTTCTATGCATTAAGCAATACACTTGAAATGAAATGGTTTGTTCCATTTGTTTTGTTTTGTTTTGTTTTTTTTTTTTTCTGATTTCCCAATTATCTAAAATCCAGAGTTAATTAATCATAGATCTAATTGTTGGAAATTGAAAATTTTTAAAAACATTTACATTTGTATGGGCTCCCAGTCTCTAAACCCAAAATACACTTGAACCTCAGCCAACTCAACCCAAAACCAACCTTTAACAAAACCAAACTCAACCCAAAAATATCAGAAACCAAAATGGGATCCATCCATGTAAAATATTCTACCAATAGCGGGAAGTAAAGTATTACCTTTAATTAGTATAAAGATCCCCTTTTGTCCAGTTGATTTAACCTGTCTTTAAGATGAGGAGGTTACGATATATTATTACATGTTTTGTACACCCTGCTGTGTATGTACTATTTCATAGTTGGACTGAAGAGCTGGTTCAGTTCGCTTTACTTCATAGTTGGCATTCCCAACATGCCTTCTGTTCTGACATTGGGCCAACTCAGATACCTGAATGTTGTGCTCACATTTAGCTTGATATTGATAATCCGTTGGATATTCTGTTTATAAATTAAACATCTATTTTAAGCTTAGTTTTGTTCTACTTTTCTTGCCTAAATACAGGAAATAAAATATACAGATATCTTTAAAATATTCCATTAATCTGTTATTCATGTATAATAAGATTAAAATAATTATGAAAGGCTATTCAATTAATATGGTATGTTCTGTTGAATAAATGGTTTTAAAGTAGTTCCATGTGTCTCATTGTATTAACATAAACAATATTTTGTTGAAAGTAATTTTATTGCTTGTTTGACCTTATAAATAATGTTTGTATATTATTATATATTAAAATATACTTGATTTGCATTTTGAAGGAATACATTCCACTAAAGTGAAATTTCATAAGTGTGGAGAAGGGCAAACCAGTCAGTGTCTATACTTGAAATGCCAAATTTTTAAAATTAAAGTATTGCTTCAAAAAAGTATATATTATGGTAATATTTTTTTTTTTTTGACTTTTACTCCCAACAATTAACTATCAATAAGAACTATAATATATAAGTACAGCTCACCACGTTATTTACCTTTTGTTTAAGTGGGATGTAATTTTATGTTTGTGTGTGGTGGAGTGCTTTTAAAAATAATCATGATTGTAAAGTGGCATGTGCAAATATTGTGTTAGAAAAAGAAAAGTAAACGTAATCGGTATATGCTTCATAGTGATGACAATATAGTTGTATAGCATTGAGGCTCCCAAATTATTTTACAATGCTTAAAAATGCAAAAATTGAACAAAATGCGAAATATTAAATATAAGGCTATAGAATTTTAGTGATTAAGTTTTTAAAGTAATGGGATTTTTTAATGTGATTTTTCTATCAACTTCATTTATTTATTTATTTTTACAGAAGAAATAAGAAAAGAGATTGAATGTGAGACAATAGAGAGGTAAGTAAACGCATTTCGAATAACGGAAATAATTACGGTTCAGGTCTAAAATGTTTACATCAGTATTAATTCCATTAAATTCTTTTGTTCTCAAACTCAAATGCTAATCGCAATTTGGTATTTTGTTGTTTCCATTTTGCTTTTAGATTTTTTGGTTTGTGTTTAATTCCTTATCTATAGAGGATAAATATTGTAAACTTATAACAGGTTTAAATTTAATTTTCATTTATTGATTTCTGATCAATGATTGATTGATTGATTGGTGATTAAATGACTGAATGATTGATTGATTGGTGGTACTGTAATGGTATATTTCCATTGTTTTCAGACTGGATTGTAGAAATTAGCTATTAGATATTGGACAAGTAAAATTTAATCTGAATCTGATAAGAAGATGTGATTTACTTTTCTCACTTTATGAAAATGAAACTGTTATATATTTTTTTCATTATTGTAGGTCTAAATAAATGCAAATAAATGATCTAGACCAATGGGTCTGGGAATTAAGTAAGCTAGTGATGAGGCCAGATTTTATTGAGAAATCCTATAATTAAATTGTAATCAGTCATAATATAAATACAAGATAGTGGATTCACACATCATTGTATCAATTAGGTGGATTAGTGAGATAGCTAGATTGTTACCTGAAGCAGTTTACTGCGTGAATTATATTTTTCTACTGATTATATTGATCAAATTATAATTCAGAAGGTAAATTGTAATTATGTGCAGAATCATTAATCATTATATATAGACAGTGACGATTTCCATGATGATGTGAAATACTGCTTTATATTGTCATACAAAATATTTGTGTGCAGAAACTTATTGCAAAAGAATTTTAATTTCCTTGGTTAGTAATGATAGAAGTATTCCAGTAACTTCCGCTATTATCTTGCTCATTGAGTGCGCATGGAAGATAAAACTAAAGTAAACAGGATAAAAATAAGTGTGATGTTGAATGATGAAGCTGCTATAATTACACTCTATCTAATGATGGGCTGAAGTTATGGAATTTCATTTCAGAATTCCACCAAGTTTAAAATCTGTAAGCATATTAAAACACTTTAAAAACTAAATTTAAACTGACCAAATAATGATGAATATTATTAATTAAACTAACAGAGTCATGTACTATAATTAAATTATATATTTGTAATTCATAAAAGAAACAATATTTGCTTATACCCACTAATTTTATTTCTGTTATATATTATACAATAAGTTAAAAAGTAACTAAAATGTGTAACTAAAATGTTCTAAATCTTTTAGTTACATTTTAACTTACTGGTGGAACAAGTATACTTTTACATGATTTCCTCCTCTTTGCTTACTATTGTCTATTCTATGTTTGTGAGCTGAATTTCAATTTGAATAAAAAAAAAAGTAAAAATAAATGCAATAATTTAAATTGTAACTAAAAATCCAGTAACATTAATTTTACAAAAATTCCTTCTAAAAGTACTTTAAACTTATTTGGCAGTAGCATCTTTTTAAAAAATTAATGATTTTATAAAAAAAAAATCTATTTATTACTAAATTTCATCACTGGGGCCATTTATTTGGGGGATATTTTTTTCTGGGGCCATTTATCTAACTTCAGAAAGATAACCATTCTAAGCATATCTGCATTCATCACCATTCAAAGCATTTTTCATATCTTATAGTTCCCCGATTTCCAGATTATATTATTCTGTCAAGGAGAAATAACAATTTATAAATGTTCTATTCATAATGTTTATTTGTTTAAATAAAAAAAAAATATGAGTTCTCTTGGATATTTAAAACAATTGTAATTGAGTTAAATTGCTAGATGCCTTAGTTTTTCTGATAAATATGATAGGACAAATGGCTTGTCATTGTAGTTAATTTTGTGTTATTGTGATACATGACAAGGAAAACATGTATGAGATAATTTTTAATCTTGCATTAAAATAAACTATGTAAAATGAAACACTGGTAACTTTTTACAATTGATTAATTACATACACTTTCTGTATTTTTAGGCTAAAGTATGCTTCAGATTTTAATTTGATTCTTAGAGCACAATAATAGTTATGATGGCTCAGGACCACCCCATAGCTATTTTTTTTTAAGTACGTGAACAATCAATGAATTTTAAGCCGACCAAGCCGCAACCTAAATTTGGTCTGACTGTAAGGTCGGCTCAGGATTTGCAATGCTAGACCCGGGCAGTCAATTTTGACATGTTATACCGTAAGATCTTATGCAAAAATCCAGCGAAAAGGATGAAATGTGAACGTTCGCAGTGTGGACCCTGTGCTGACTTAAAATACTAACCGCGAATGCAACAGTCGTCTTGAGTTGCCTGTAGTTAAGGCGGCCTTGGGCCAATACAATACGTGTGATTGGGCTCTTAGTGTAGTCAATAAGCTCAAGTGGCTCTTTTTTCTTATATGTTCTATTTCTTATAGAAAAAAAAAACCACTATTGTCTACTTCCAGTGGTGCTGGGGCAACCAGGGCAAGTGACCTGGGGCCCGGGCCCGGCAGTGGCCCAGGATAACTAGGTAAAAAATAATAAAATCAATAAATAAATAAAAATTATTAAACGTATACATTCATCCAGTATCATTCCTGTGTTTTTTCCCATGGGAATTTAAATAAAGCTGACAGTTTATCGATGAAAGCTGGTATCGCTTCTAATTCTTTTTCATGAATATTTACATGACTTCTACTATTCTAGAGTTTATGTTTACAATGTTTCAAATAGTAAATTCTCTACGTTTAATTAATAATTATAAAAGGCTTGGACCCTAGACATCGTCAATATACATACAAGTTAGAAAATATGAACAGACCTGATAGAGATTTGATTGTCAAATAAATAAATACTAAATTAGTGGATTAAACCAGTAGCGGATTTAAGGAGAGGCCCGACCCCCACACCTGAATTTTTCAAAATTTAACAAAAATTTTGAGGAAAAGAAAATTCTACTCAAATTTAGTCCAAGAGTGGCATTTCTGGTCATGCAGAGGTGCCTTAATCATACATTTTCTTACCTCAGCCCCAACGATGGCAGGGCTGCAGTAGATTGTCCTTCTGTGCAAGTTCTTCTCTGTGTCCCCTCTGTTTCAATTTCCTGGATCTGCCACTGTAAACTTTAATACCTATGTTATGAATCTTCAGCACGTTTGAATAAAAGGAAGGATAGCTTTTACTGTCAATGTTTCTATACTTTATTTTTCATGACCTGATGAAATTAGGCACTCTATAATCTATTAGATTAGTCCTCTAATCCATTAAAAGTCCGTAGCTCCAGGGATCTTCGCTCCTGCTGGGGCCCTATACGACCCCAGACCCCCAACCAATGGGCCTGGGCAGCAAGGATGCCCCGGGGTTCCGCGGCCCTGTCTACTTTAATACCTAAAGTCACAGACTCAAAAAAAATGTTTCAACAACACAGTCTGTTTTTGAAACAGATTGTAAAGATTTTACCTTCCAATTAATTTCCTGAAGTTTTTTAGTCAATTAATGTTTACTTGCATAAACAATGATCCAAGAGATTAGTTGTTTTGATAAATATGGATTACTATTTATATTTATACATAATCCCTCCCATAGGTCATTGTAACATTCAGGATAAATTACTTGGTTCCAAATGTCACAAATATACAAATGCATGTTAGTTGAGCCTGGTTGAACTGTTCAAGGATTGCAAATTTCACTACATTTAAACAGTTTGGTTTTATACAGGCCCTCAGAGAATAAATTCCCAGCACAGAAATCTATGTCACAAAACTATTTGAGGCTTTGCCATACCCAAAACCAGCATACTGTCGCTAAATGTTAAACTGAGTAATTAGCGTATGATAATAATAATTTATTTGGAAACTTTTATAACAGTGGACCACTTCCCCTTGCGAAAATGCGTTTAAAAAAAATAGCATGCAAAATAATTAAACAAAATTTAAACAATATCAATGCAATGATGATTAACATTATAATGACATAATATATTTTAGTTAATGACTTAAATTAAGAGCATTTACAAAAAGTTAATCTTAACAACTAAATCTACTATCTAAATTGATAAAGAAAAAAAAATCGAACAAGATAAATTATTAAACAAAATATATAAATATTAAGACAAAATAAGAATTTGGCAGTATGATATACTTTAGTACAGAGAAGCTGTAATACTTTTACTTACTTTGGCAACAGGAGTCGATTCCAGTAAATTACCTATTACGGTATTTTAAAGCTTATATAATTATTTTGTAGAGAATAATGGTCACTGATGCTAGTTTTGGCATGGCAAGTCTCATGTTGTCACATCCACTGCAGCAGTGGACAAACCAGCAAACAAATTTCAATGAAAATACAAGTAATAATCCTTTCATGGGCCTATGAGTTCTGTTATACACCAAAACTATCAAACTTAGTTTTAATTATTGTAATTAAAAATAATTAATATATTTTAATAAAATAATAAATATTGTTAATATTTGTTATTATTATTGTCATAATTATTAACATCATGGTTGTTATCATTATTATCCTTAATATTATTATTAAAATTGTCATTATCAAATGATTTTCTCATTATAAACTATATTTAAAAATAATTGTAATGTTTTATCTGGTTTGAATATAATATTGTAAATCAAAATTTGTTTTGTTAATAGAGTATGGTTCCCTAATATAGCATGTTAATAGGGTGTTCCTCCTGTCCCTAATAATCTCCACCCATGACTACACAGTATTACAGGGCGGTAGCACCTCCTTAAGTCCTATATTGTACTATATTTAAGCAGTGACCTAAGAATTAATTTTTACTCCAGCTAAAGTTAGTGAAAGTTGACAATCTTAATGATTAATTGGTGCCAATGGCATCTGGCATTAGGTAGACAGGTGTCGAGTGTCTGATGTTTATGCACTCTGCTGATAGCCAAGGCTCCAGTGCACCAGTAACGCACCAATTATGGTTAAAGGCTGCACTGTGTTGTAAGTATAGCACAACACTCACTTCCAGTCTCCAGTAGTCAGTGAGAGTGATGGTAATGTTTTAGACCAAAGTTGATAAAAAACCCATCATTATGTAGCTCAGAAGAGGGATATTTATAATAGAAAGTGAAGATTGGAGACATTTAAGGTTGGTTTATTTATGATTGTTAATTTTCTGTTGTGGTAAAAATGATTTTTGAAGTTAGATTGTTAGTTGAACAGCATACTTTGCATTCCATTAGTGTATGTAATTGTTCATGAGAGAGAGGTACATGCATGTGCAGAACATACTGTCTCTATTCATAAGTTTAATGTTTTTATTTATCTTTAGAAAGAGGCAATATAATTGCAATGTTAATTGTATCACCATCTTTCTATATAGTCTTCCTTTCTGATCACAAATTTATAGATGTATTATAGTAGATTATGAAGTTTAATGTGATTACATAGTGTTTGAATGTCATATTTTTGTGTACCACTTACTGGTTTTGTACACTTACCCTGAGAGACATAAAACAAGTTATTAATGTGCAAGCTGAGGTTTTATTAGAGCTGTGTTTCCCAATCTTTTTTTTTTCGGGGACCCACTTTGGTGACCCACCCTGTCAGAACATGTAAGATGTTTTATTGACCTAAAACAACGAAAGGAATGGCTAGGCCTAGATATCAAAAGTCCTTACTTGAATTATTTTTATTTTATCTATTTTTGAAAGCACTTTGTTAATTGTATTTTCTTATCAATGATATTTAAATATTTGTAATCAGTCCTTAATAACTTTTAACTAGTTTAATCACAATTAAAATCCTTTTATTTTATATCTTCTTCCAGTGACAAAAATAATTTGATTATATTTTTTTATACATATGTGTATAGGGTTGTTTCTGCAACCCACTGAAAAATATTTGCAGTCCATTTAATAGGTCACAACCTACAGTTTGAGTTATATGTATATATTATTGCATTTTTGACAAGAAAAAAAATCAAATATGATAAGTTACAAAATTTGTTAATAATTTTATGTTCAATCATGTGAAAATATAATTTAATAAAAATTCAGATATTAACAAATGGGATAATAATTATATATATATAACCTTTATTGCAATCTCAAATATTTAGGATTGTATAAAATAGAATATAAAATTGAAATACCATGAAGATTTGTAAAAATGCATTACAATAAAGAAGGACAAAATTTCAATAAAAATAAATCAGGAGGCATGAGAAAAAAAATATTTTGCTCGGTGGATCATTACAACTTCTTAACTATTAGTTAGGGATGGTAGACGAAGTCTACCATCCCTCATAGTTGCCATACGTTGTAATGAACTTTCTAGTATATTGAAGCTTGGCAAGTGGAATATTGACGTTTAAGCTTAATTGTGATTATGTGCTCTAGCTGTTAGTAGCAAATGATTGAGTTTTTCTTTTGTTTTTTCATTTTTTCCGAAATATCGCTGACATAGATGAATACACCTGTCCTCTAGTCGTGGTAACTCTAAAATTTCACAAGCTAAATTGTAAATTCAAATTGTAAGTGATAAATTGAATTATTATTCCAACAGTACAAAGTTGGATACTTTCTAGACATTTAGACTTATCAGCAGTGATACATGTTCCCCAGACTAGACAGGCGTATTATAAATGCCCATACCTGTACCAGTTTCAGATGAACGAGGTAAAATAAAACAGCGCATCTTCTCCAAACCCTGCTCTTCTAAGTTTTTTAAGAACATTTAGCCTGATTTTAGCTTTACCTAAAATGGTGTATGGTAAAAATGGCCCCAGTAAAAATGGCCCCAGTAAGAATGGCCCCGGTAAAAATTGCCCTGGTAAAAATGACCCCAAATGACAGGTAGGTAAAAATGGCCCCCAATAATAATATTCCGTATTAAAACTGAATTATATTTAATCATTATATGCATTTTTTTAAAACTGAAATAATTTAGTTTTTAAAAAGAATCTAACATCAAATAAATTGCCATTTATATTTTACTTTTTGCAGGAATTACGTATTCAAAGAAAAAAAAAAAAGCCGTGAATAACACTTTTTATATTTTTTCCATTTAAATGTTAGAAAATAGTTTAACAGTTTAATCAATAAATCAACATAAATCATGCATTTATTAATACTAAAATAATTTATTTGTGGCCAATTTCACGGAAGCGGAATCACAATCAGAAATTCAATCCAGGTATTGCTAAACTCCGCAAAAATGGGTTGATGTGAACATCAAATTATTATTTTTTTTTTAAAGAAAAAGAGAGTTTTTTAAAGAAAAAAATTATAGCCACTGGTTTCTGAGCCAGTAGTAGCATGGAGGTATATACCTCCATGATAGTAGACACTTGGATTTAGTTGGCAGAGAGTAAAAACCAAGTATGCAAATTAATTAAGTTGCTTTAATAAATGTATTCCTAATTGTTCAGTTTACTAAAAACAATATTTGATTAACAAATACTTCTTTGAGGTAAAACTCTAAGCAGAACATTTATTGTTTGTGAGAAAGTAAGCCTCTCCCTTTTCCCATACATGAACTTGTGATTCAACACACAATTGTTCCACATGCTTTAACTACTGTTTATTTGCATTATTTATAACATGTAAAGTTATTTCATTTGATACTTAACAAAAGTGAATTTTGTGTTATCTATGAGTTGAATATTTTAGTAATTGAAGTACTTTATGTATGTCATTCCTATTAGTGGAATAATGTTTTTAAAACTTTTATTTCTACATATCAAAAAATGTTATTCATTGTCATGCTTTCAGATAATCTCTCAGTACATTATTTGCATCTGTTGTGTAACTGTATTTGTATCTACTACTGAATTTTTTCATTGTGGCCAGTTTTACCTACTTGTCATTTGGGGCCATTATTACTGGGACCATTATTACTGGGGCCATTATTACCAGGGCCATTTTTACCGAGGCCATTTTTTCCTACATTCGGTAAGAATGGCCCGGTAAAAATGGCCCAGGAAAAAATGGAAAGTTTTCTTAGGGCCTGTTTACGAACTTTTGAAAACCGGATAACTCAAGCCTGAGGTGATAATTAATCATTCCTCAACTAGCTTTAATTACTAAAACATCTGGACTTTCCGGGCTTATCCCTGTCTCTTATACACATCTATGTGTATAAGAGACAGTAGGAACACTATCAGGCATGAGCAAGTTATATGAGATTTGCTAATACTAGACGTCATTTGAGTGTAATATGGTACTGTGTGCTGTTTTAGGACTTATCTTATCTGGTGCAACATTAGTAAATTAATAATTTAATGAGAAAAATGTTTTTTTTTTTTTAAATAATATCTTGGTGATAGAAATCATCAAGGTATGTTTTAATAAGCACTTTCAATAAGTATTCCAATGTTTATTTAATTGTAGATTATCTCAAATAAGCACCTATGTGATCTGTCTCTTATACACATCTAAATGTTATTCATGGTCATGCTTTCAGATAATCTCTCAGTACATTATTTGCATCTGTTGTGTAACTGTATTTGTATCTACTACTGAATTTTTTCATTGTGGCCAGTTTTACCTACTTGTCATTTGGGGCCATTTTTACCCGGGCCATTATTACTGGGACCATTATTACTGGGGCCATTATTACCAGGGCCATTTTTACCGAGGCCTTTTTTTCCTACATTCGGTAAGAATGGCCCGGTAAAAATGGCCCAGGAAAAAATGGAAAAGTTTTCTTAGATTAGTAGTTTAGTTTCAAGAGCCCACAAATTGTGTACTCCCGATAAACTTCAAGCAGAACTTTGTAACATTAGGAAATTTATGTCATGGAATGAGTACCCTTTAAAAGTTGTTAACCATGTACTCAATTAAATGAACCTGATTGTATACTGAGGATAGCGGCTTGATTAAGATCTGGGTTATGATTGCCTTATCTAGGAAAGGCGGAGAATTAATTTTACGTAGATGCTTAAACAGAGTAAAGAAACACTTAGAGGTAAAATTCATAACATTATGGCAGTACAAAAATGTCTCTCATTTTATATCTACTAAAGATCAAACCCCTAAGGAATACTAGAGCTCTGTTGTTTATTATTTTAAATGTCCAGTTTGTAATAGTGATTATACCGTATTGGAAGACAGATAGATGCTTAATAACTACACTTAAAGAACATTCTTCACGATCTGATAGTGTTATAAATGATCATATACAAAATTGTGAGGTATTCCAATATGTTAGGTTTAAGGTATACTTGAAAATGATAATGTAGCCTGTAATGTAAGTAATAAATTAGGTTTAATATTTTCTAATACTAACATTATCGACAGTTCGCAAAATTGGTCTATGGTATTGTTTAAAGAAGCTTTTGCTATATGTAGGCTACACCCATTGCTTAACAATAGGCTGACAGCTTCAAAGGAGCTTTCTTTGCTTTTGTAGGTAGCTTTGATCAGTAGGGTAAGAATGCTGTGATCTTTAGTTTATTCATAGCTGTGTCACCTACTAGGGGTAATGTTTTGATTGGTCAAACATTTTTGGTACTTGTGCATGTAAGCTTGCAAATATGGATAATTTTTCATTCCAGATATGATGACATAACATAATTAATGTCGAAATATTGAATCCCGACACGATGGCGTGCATTTCGATGCTTGGAGCATGTATTATACTATATTAATTTTATACTTTTGTATCTTATTATTGCTTATTTCTTCTTCATGTGTTATTCAGTTACAATAACTTTCCCAGGCTTATATAAACTGGTTGTTTATTGTACTGTTTTTTGCATTGTTTACCCAGTCATTCAGTTTGTGACATACACCTCATATTTGGTTTTTAAATTTAATCGTTTGTATTTTATTTGCTTTTATCTCATTGGTTGGCATATAATTACTTACTGTTGTACTTCAATAAATATTGTGATGTTATGGATTGACTTGTGCTTAGCAATCAGTAATGATCCAGATGTTGAGTTTACTGTGTTTTTGTTTTAGTGGACTATAATACTGTAGCTATCTTTTCTTTTTTTTAAAATATCATTTTATAATATTAAACAATCGATTGAATTTGAACTAAGCACCTTTAAAATGTGAGATTCTGAACCGATAAAGTGCCTGAAATCAACTTTACATGATATGATTTACTTAACTACAAGATTTTCACTTCAGAGGTAGTATACATTAGATGTAACTTTACTTACCTACACTGTTTGATCAAAATAACAACTGTTACTTGACTTATATAGGCCATAGAAATAACAGTTCCATTCTGGCATTTAGCAATCTCTTTAGGAGCTTGTTTCTGCAACATGATTTAATTGGTTTTTTAATCTATAAGTAAAAAACATGGTTAAATAAGCAAAGATTACACCAGGCTTAAAATGTTAGCACGATGCTCCAAAAATATGTACTACTAAGTATATTTCATTCAAACAATGATAAATGCCGAAGTGTCGAACAGCACTTGTTCAATCTCATATCATCCTTAGGCACTGCCTTCAATGCAACTGCTCTCTTTATATGCCGCCTGTGCGTGCCTGTGAACTCAAGAACTCAGGGAGGTCCCTGGTCGGCTATTGGATAGGGTGCATTCAGTAACGTACATGTGTGACGATTGCAGTATTCAGTGAAGTGTCCATTTTTATGAACGGTGATTGATAAAACAACATTTGTTATTTGAATTTACGAGAGTTTTTTATGAAACACATTTTTTATACTGAATTTCGGCTGGGTATTCCAAAAATAATGGTATGGCTAAACCATTACTATAGGCACTTTACACAACAGGACGGGGAGCCATTGACAACGGAAATTCGGGTTAAGAGCCCAAGTGTTTATTGTGGTCTTCACGCTCTGATGAGCACATGAATGAGTAAATGAAATTTAAATTGTGGGACACGGGTCATGCCTCGTCGTATCCGACACCATATGTAGTGCCAAAACTGTAGGCCTTTCCACCCTTTAAAATTTTGGACAACATTTCCTGAAATTCCACCACTTTTCAAAAAAAAATCCTGGTGAGAGGACTGATATAATATGCATCTTGACTTAAAGGTACAATAATAAAAAGACTGTGGGAAAAACAAAAAACATGTTAATTTGACAAGGGAAGCCTAAGCCAAGTATGATATGAAAGAAACGTGTGTAAATCTAAAGTCGGGCACTTATGGAGTCGTACTGACCGTCGCACGACGAATCTAACTCAGCACATAAAAACCTTTCGTTCACTTTAGTAGTTTTTTTCTACCCTGTGAATGGGTATTGCTAAACCCTGCAACTCCTACAAACCTCCAGCATTTACCAGCAATCTTCATTATAACCCCTTCATAATGATTATAGAGCATACCAAAAGATCCCCACCCGATATAATAATAATAATAATAATAATAAATAAATTTGTATAATATACACATATAATATTAATAATTTATGTGTTTGGATAAGAAGTTGATAAAAAGTGAAATGCAGATCCTCCTACAAACCCCTGTAAACCTCCACCTATATTGTCCAAACCACTTTAAAATGATTATATAATGTGTTATGTAGCATATAAATAAAGGATTCTGGGGTTTCCCGAAAACAAATTCATCTTTTCCAAATAAAAAGTAAAGTATTTTTTTTCCCTTTGGTTATGCTCTATAATACACTTATGTAATAATTATCAGTGGGTTTGGATGACCAAAAAAAAACAACCAAAAACTATGTTTTTGGTTGCCTCAGTGTATCAGTTATATGAGATTTGCTAATACTAGACGTCATTTGAGTGTAATATGGTACTGTGTGCTGTTTTAGGACTTATCTTATCTGGTGCAACATTAGTAAATTAATAATTTAATGAGAAAAATGTTTTTTTTTTTTTAAATAATATCTTGGTGATAGAAATCATCAAGGTATGTTTTAATAAGCACTTTCAATAAGTATTACAATGTTTATTTAATTGTAGATTATCTCAAATAAGCACCTATGTGATTAAGCTTCTTAGAAAGTGATTTAAAAAAAAAAAACAATGTTTAATCCGGTGTTTGTTTAGACTGGCGCTTATTCAGTTGTTTATGGTTGGCTTATATTTTAAGTCTGCTATTATTGGGATTATGACCCATGGCAGCTCAAGTAGCTACCGGTAATCAAATTAAATTGAATCTGTCAGCATTGTGAGGCTTCATGCTGTAGCTGACATCATTTTAAAACAAATATTCTCATATTATGTACTTATGTTCACACTAAGGTACAATTGGTTGTGGATACTCTAGGTTTACCAAAGAGTTTGTCTGACCTTGATATAATAATAAGTTTAATAAGTTAATATACAGTACAGTATATTGATACTGATGAGTGTGTTATGATTATTGATATTAAAAGGTGATAATGAAGTCAGTACTGTTGGTTAAGATGTTGATTAATTATATTAATTAATGTTGAAGATGATGACTTGATAAATTTTGAGGGAACTAGACATCATGATGACTTCAGTGAAAATTATGCTGGATGGATGAACAATATTGCAGAAGTTGATAAGATGACAATCAGATGATAATAATGATGATAGATACTCAAATTCAGCATTAATATTTTATTACATTATGTGTATTTTGTTTATATAGGACTGAAAGCAAGACTGTTTCTCACACACGTGTGAGCTTGGAGAACAGTATGCCAGCCCAAGAACCACCTCAATTTAGCCAGTCGCTGAAGAGTATCAACACTACTGAAGGGCAGCCAGTAGCGTTTGAGGCTCATGTGACAGGTTAGAGACACCTCGTTTATTTACAATAGCAGTGGCAGTTCCAGAGGACATTACTATTGAAATATATTTTCAATTAATTTTTTTTTAAAGAGTTAAACACTATTAGATACAGCACTGTTCACTGTTTTATCTGCAAGTTACAGGCCTGTATTACCTTTTCCTTTGGGGTCTGCCTACTATTCCTCCTCTCCAACACCACTTTTATATAGCCCTGTACCTCTGACAGTACACTACTCCCCTGCAGCCTTGTCCATTATTCCTCCTGTAGCTCTGTACAACTTTTTTCCATTGTTGAAGCCTCATTCCCTATGCTTCCCACTTAGGCACTGTGTTCTGTTAACTACATGCTGCCTCTCAGGACCACATACAGTTCTCCATTCCAACTTTCTTCCCCTCCCCCGACCCCTGTTGGTGCCACCACTGGTTAGAGTACGACTCTTTTGTTGGAACATCAGAAATTACATATGTTTAATACTCTTTTCACAAGACATTATTGTGAAAATAGCACTAACTTCTAACCAAGTTTGTGTAAAAAAGCAATTTGTGTATAACCTGCCAGCCTAGGTTTGGCCTAGGCAGGCGATGCTGCCCTTAATTGCTTCTCTACATATAGTGACAAGTCCATTAAAAAAGAATGCAGTGAATAACTCAGGACATCTCGGGACATAATTCTCTGAATGTTTTTAAATTCCAAGTACCTCTTTAAAACGAGTCCCACATCCATAAATAGTACTACTACTGTATCTATGTAAGTGTACTGTAAGACAATGTATACATGTCACCTTAAAAAAGCTTCAGATCCTTTGATTGGCTATGATATCTCATGTACCGGTAGCTTAATTTTTTTATGTTATAAATCCTATACATTATTTTGTAAAATTTATCTACACCTCAGGCGATCCGGAACCGACCGTGACTTGGTTCCGTGACAATATTGATGTGTCCAAATGTCCTGATTATGACATCACAATCAAAGATGGTGTATGTTGTTTAAAAATTGAGGAAGCTTTTCCCGAGGATGCTGGCAAGTTTAAAGTGGTGGCTGAGAATGCCATTGGAAAAGCATCATCGACTGCCAACCTGCTGGTTGAAGGTTTGTTAAAGGACGCTTTGCATGCTATTTAGTGTCTGTATGTCTGCATGCGTATCAATTATAGATTTATTTTCTGTTATGCTAACACTTCTATATATAAACACTATTGTTCACCGCAGCAGTATACTACACATTGTTGTCAATACCGTACTCGCATGAATAAGCGCCCGGGCGCTTAAAATATTTTTTGCACTTTCTGAGGGGTGCTTATTCAAACAGGGCGCTTATTTAAACAATTATGAAATTATTGTGAAAATAGCACTAACTTCTAACCAAGTTTGTGTAAAAAAGCAATTTGTGTATAACCTGCCAGCATGAGTTTGGCCTAGGCAGGCGATGCTGCCCTTAATTGCTTCTCTACATATAGTGACAAGTCCATTAAAAAAGTATGCAGTGAATAACTCAGGACATCTCGGGACATAAATCTCTGAATGTTTTTAAATTCCAAGTACCTCTTTAAAACGAGTCCCACATCCATAAATAGTACTACTACTGTATCTATGTAAGTGTACTGTAAGACAATGTATACATGTCACCTTAAAAAAGCTTCAGATCCTTTGATTGGCTATGATATCTCATGTACCGGTAGCTTAATTTTTTTATGTTATAAATCCTATACATTATTTTGTAAAATTTATCTATACCTCAGGCGATCCGGAACCGACCGTGACTTGGTTCCGTGACAATATTGATGTGTCCAAATGTCCTGATTATGACATCACAATCAAAGATGGTGTATGTTGTTTAAAAATTGAGGAAGCTTTTCCCGAGGATGCTGGCAAGTTTAAAGTGGTGGCTGAGAATGCCATTGGAAAAGCATCATCGACTGCCAACCTGCTGGTTGAAGGTTTGTTAAAGGACGCTTTGCATGCTATTTAGTGTCTGTATGTCTGCATGCGTATCAATTATAGATTTATTTTCTGTTATGCTAACACTTCTATATATAAACACTATTGTTCACCGCAGCAGTATACTACACATTGTTGTCAATACCGTACTCGCATGAATAAGCGCCCGGGCGCTTAAAATATTTTTTGCACTTTCTGAGGGGTGCTTATTCAAACAGGGCGCTTATTTAAACAATTATGAAAACAGAGTGGAAATTAATGAGGCGCTTGAAGATAGATGAAAATCAAGGGGTTCTTATGGGAAATTTTTGGCACTTTTTGAACGGAAAAAGATTATATAAGGACAGTACCAATGGTGGTTAGGCGGAAAAGATAATAGTCTAGAGAACATGGCTCATGACAAGAATGCTGTGAGTATTTACATAACAGCAGAATAGCAGATGCAATTAGTGGTGGTGGGTAGTGGTTAGCTTGTTGGCCATCGGCCGATTTCGATTAGCTGGATGGCATTATCATTGTATTTTTTCTTGAAAACTCAAATGAGAATGTGTTTAAAGGAGATTGGAGATTGATTGGATTATTGACTTCCTAAAAACAAAATCTTAAGATTTATTTGGGGGGCGCTTATTTAAATTAGAAGGGAGCATTTATTCAAACGGGGCGCTCAAGGAAATTTTTATGATAGGAGGGGCGGTTATTTAAGAGAGGCGCTTATTCAAACAGGGCGCTTATTCGTGCAAGTACGGTATAACTAAAATTGGGTTTTTGAGAAAAATCTGTTCCTTTCCTCCTCTTCAAATTTTAAGCCCAAGGCTATCAAATTAACATTCAGTTGCTATAATATCTCATCAATAAGGCTGAATTTCTTCACTTTGATTCTCCTAAAAATACATGTTTTTCTCAAGATATTCATAATACCCCATTAATTTTAATTAATGGGGTATTAATTAATTTATATACAAATAATATTTTTTCAATGTTTTAGAGTTGATAATTCAGTGCTTTTTTCATAGTAAAAGTATACAAAAGAAAATATTAGTTGAGGAAAAAAAGAGATTGTTAAATTAAATTACATAAGGAAAGTTATTAAATTTCCTATATTTGTGAATAACATAAATAATAATATGATAAAATAGCACTTATAATGCACTATCTATCTAGCATGCTATTCTGAGGCGCAGTAACTCTTGACGAAAAGAAAAAGTATTTATTTATTTTATATATTGATTTGTCGGAATAGCAAAACAGCGAGGCTTAATTTTACAAATAACCAAGTCAAAAAGTATTATATTAAACATTTTTTGAATTGAATCTTATATTTTCAGTACTGGTATTTTAATAATATATTACTTGCCTGTTGTAGTTTGAGGGCAAATCAATTAGAATTGAATTCTAAAAAAAATGTTTTCATATTTTTGAATTATTATTGATGTAAATGTTGAGTCTGTGTACATATTGTTAATATTCTATATTATAATTGTTCATGTTCATTGTTAATGTTTACTAATTAATTTAGATCACAATTAGTCTTCATAAATCATTTAACATTTGTTAAATAAACCCATTTAGCTCACATCAAATTTAAGACATAACACAATTAGCTCACCTGTATTGACAACC